CCAGAGGCTGGGTGACCCCAGACCCAGCTGGGAACCACCACCCTGTCTGAGGTGTATTCATGGGGCCAGCCCACTGTGAACTCTTGAAACCGTCGCGAACAAGGTTGTTCAGGATTGTCCGGCCCCGTCGTTGGAGATGCTGCGGGTTGGTGAGCCACCTGTGCGTGCAGCTGGCAGCGTGCAGGGAGCTCTGCTCGTGGGAAAGGTTCAGGAAGGAGGCAGGAAGCCTGAACAGGGAGAGGAAGAAATCACGCTAGCAGTTTAAAGAGATGGAAGCAAGTGGCTTGTTCTGAATTGTCTCAGAGGTGTAGACCAAGAGGCTGCAAATTGCAGGGTCTCAGAATTCTGTGTTTTTCTAAAATGAGCCTGTCTGAAGTTTTCAGCTGCACTTTCAAATAAGACCTGCATTTTCTGAATCCAGCTGTGAATCAGGAGAGCAGCTGTCCTTTAGGGACACATGGGAACATGTCAGTAAGGTGACAGGCTTCTCCTGCTTGCAGGGTGGGGACAGTGGCGAGGGTTAGTGGGCTTGCTGAGGGCATGTTCCCTTGCTTAGCGCCCCCTGCCACCTCACTTTCTTCTGGAAGGATGAGAAGTTCTTGTTCATGGGTGATTTCATGATGTCCTAGAACATAATGGCAGTTGAGTTCTCTTGGTGTCAGTGTTGAGAGCCTGCTTCCTGGCCTGTCATGAGTTTGTCTTCCACCTGCAGATGGCTGGCTCTGTAATGAGCGCTCAGGAAGGAATCTTGGTTTTGTGCCTTCTCCTGTCAGGCAAGAGGTGAGTGCTTTTTTGATGACATGGCGAGAACAACGCGGTCTGTGGCTTTCCTCAGGGGGACTTTGGTTTGGAGCCAGGGGCCTGCGGATCCTAGTGCAACCCACTGCCAGGAGTCCTCTGGGAGGGCATCGAGGTCTCCACAGCGAGGCGCTTTCCCTCAGGCAACCAGTATCCGAGTTTCCTCTGCAGGGTTCTGCGCTGGGTGCTGAGGGACCCAAAGGGGAGATAGGTCCCTGCCTTGTGGGCTCCTCCTACAGTAGGAGAAGGAAGACCGTGTGTGTACCCACAGCATAAGGTAGAGAGTGATAAATGCCATGAGACAGGCAGAGAAGGCAATGGGAAGCAAGGAGTGCTGGTGGCTGAGCCCATCCAGGTCTGAAGAGTGGAGGAGGCCTTGGGGCTGGGCTTCAACAGATGTAGTTGGAGACAGCCAGGGGACACTCGGGGTGAAGGGGCCCCAACCTGAACAGTGCATGAGGCGCAGGGGAGCATAGTTTCAGACCAGATCAGGGGATGCTGCGTAGGGATTTTCAATTTACGTCTAGAAAATTCAAGTGAAAATGTTTAAACAGGCACGGCTGGGGGAGAGGGGGGTCCTGGCTAAGGAAGCTGGGTTGTTCCTAGCTTCCTGTTTACTTACCCCATGTCCTCCTAGCTAATCTGGAGGATTGCTGGTGAATCAGAGGAGGTGGGGTCTAGCACCCGCAGAAGGAGGTCCCGAGAAGCTGGGTGGGGTGTGGGCGTGTGCGTGCACGTGTGTGGTTTTTAAATCCCTGTAATCCTGTTCAGTTAGTCCAAACGCTTGGCATCTGTTGGCTTGTGTAACAGGCATGTACAGGGCTGCCTGTATTCCTAGGCTGGTCAGACTTGGTTTCTAGGCCAGCTTTCTGCCCGATGACAAGGCAGCTTTGTGAGTCACCGGCCACCACGGTGCAGAAAGGTCCAGGTCGTGATCCGACTCCCCGCCTAGTGCGTCTCCCACGTAGGCCTGGGAATGCCTTGGAGAACCTTGGCACCTAAAGAGAAAAGCCTGGAACCTCGCTTTGGGGGTGGCACGGCGTCGTGGGAGGTCGGGGCCTCTGCAGCCTGTCAGGGCGTGTAGAGCCGTGGAGCCTAGTCTTCTGCATTCACCTGTGCCCACTGCATTCCAGCGGCCCGGCAGGGTGACAGCCCTGGGCCAGTAGCATGTCACTCCCTGCTCCTTCTTTTTCCCGTAACAGTTTTGGGATTCCCCCAACCCTACTGGTATCAGAGTGACCCAGCAAAAGCATCTCCAGGATTCTGGATGAATGTTTACTATGACTTTCAGAGCAAATACTGGTGTACTCTCTGGAAGGTGTGACTTCCTTTATTAAAGTTTATGTTCCCTGTATAAAATCCTAGGGAAGGTAGGGCCATGTGCATTTGCCAAGTCTGAACCTTGTGGCTTGGTCGTCGTATTCAGATCCGGATACCGTGGAGGAGGCTTTGGAAAGTCCGGAGGAAAGAACTAGATGGTTAATAGAAGAGCGT